CTTTTACAAATGGATATTTTTCGAAGCATAGTTTGAAATTATTTAAGTTATTTAGTATTGTCCGACACTGTATATAGATATGATTCTAGTACTTATGTATTCTTAATGTGATCTCATTTTTTTGTTTATGTAAGAAATTAATTTTTAAACTGTACATACATATGTATATGTATGTTTTTTACGTTTCTGGGCCGTTATCTTATCCATTAACGATTTAACTATACTTTAAAATAGGTAAGTTGGCGGCCCTTAATATGCTTTATGTGTTACACAACAAGTTTTTTTGTTGAATACAATATTAATTCTTTCCGGAGTTCATTGTTTTTCTATATCATTACTTATAGAAAATGTTTGCGTGTATACTTATATATTTATATGTAGGTAAAAAAATTTTGCTACCATTTTTAGCCACAACGACGATTTTTAGCTCTTTTTTTAGCCCTTTTTTAGCCTGAATTTAGCTACCGCTAAAAAAGTTTCGCGGCAACACTGATCAGTTTGCCACGCTTTAATTGAAAAATATTATTTAGAATATCGCAATCGTTTTGGTGGTCATTTGTAGGTTGATGATAGGTAAAAAATAAAAATATGTCCAATCTCTCTAGTTTTTTTTTTTTAATTTCAGCGATAAAATGCTCAAATGCTGACTAAATGATGCCATATCGTTTGTAGGTGGTTGATAGATGACACTCAGTGTCATTCAATGCTCATTATATACATATGTACATAAACCATTGATTGGAAACTATTTGGGAGAAATGCATTGTACCTAAATTGAGTCAAGTGTACCAAATTTTACCTCTTTGGTCTAAAGAGGGCTAAAAAGCGTAGAAATGTGCCTAATTTTCCATCACTGTGTATTTTATAAAAAAAAATCCCTCAATTAAAAAAAAAAAAATAGTTCGCAATAAAAAAATCAAATGTTACTATCTGAAAAATGTATTTTTAATCTCGATTTGGTAAATTTAAAAAACCTTCCCGTACATAAAAATTTCAAAAACTATTTTTTTTAAGTGTTTTCCAGAAGAGTGAGACTTTTTTGTAAAAAGAAATTACGATTTTTTCATTTTAATAATTTCTTATTTTAAATAATTTTTAATTTGGAAATCTGCATAATTATTATTTTTTTTTTTTTAACCACCTTTTCATTTCTTTTAAATTTAAAATTAAAAAAAAAAATTAAAAAAAAATTTACTAAAAAAAAAACTTAAAAAAACCGATGACTTACATTTTTTTTTCTGAAAATAAGTTTTTGACAAAATTTTTCTGATAAAAGATTTAAACATTTTTTTCTCTAAATTTTTTCATTTGCATTAATATGGAAAAATATTTTTATCCATTTTGCCGGTTTTCATATTAAACGCAAATAAAAAATAATAATTTTTCCCTTAAATTGCTTTTGTAAAACTGGCTATACATCAGTTTTAGCTCTCTTCAACTTCCAATCTGTATTTGCAGCTTTCCACTTAAAACTTTCCAAATAAAACACCCACACTTTTCACTAAAAAAATATTTATTTACAACTTGCTTTTATTATCAACCACTTCTCCACGTTCCTTGCGCTTCACGAACGCCTTTATCGCGCGCTGATATGTTTCGCCAAATCGCAGCGGCTCCACCACCCGACATTCCGCCTCCAATGCGAGCAGCAATTGCTCAAGCTCAGCTCTGCCCAACAACCGCTTGGTGGCGCGCAGCGACTCTACCGGCAAGCGCGCCGCCTCCAAAAGCTGCGGCCACAACTGCCGCTCCAACTCCGCTGCGGGCACTATGCGAGCCACAAAATTGAAGTTTAGCGCTTCCTCTGCATGTAAGCGCGTACCAAATAACAACAATTCCGATGCCTTAACACGCCCCAACAACTGCGGCAGCAAGTAGGTGGCACAGCCCTCCGGACAAATGCCAAGCTGTGTGAAAGGTGCTTGAAAGTAAGCGCGCTCCGTGCAGTAGACCACATCGCAGAGCGCGGCCAGCACAAAACCAATTCCCACACACGCGCCATCGACAAGCGCCACCACCACTTTGGGGCAGTAGATGAATTGCTTTACCAGCATACGCAGTACATAGTTAGATGAGCGAAAATAGTTGTGCGCATCGGGGTATTGGCTCAGCTGCGTGAGGTCATTGCCAGCTGTAAAGCAGCCGTCGGCGCCGGTCAGTACAATTGTTGTAATGGCGTCGTTGAGCCTGGCATCGCGTAGCGCGCTTATCAATTCGTAGTAGCCGCGACGTGTCAGCGCGTTACGTACCGCAGGGCGATTGAATGTGATTACGGAAATGCGATCGCCGCGTTGTTGCACGCTGATTTCGCGGTACGAAAGGGATAGCTTACGATTGTTCGGCGTGATGGCGGTGGTAGTAGCGGTAGCGGGCGTAGCAGTAGCTGCAACGAAATTCGCGGTTATTGCGGATTCTGCTGGTGCACTCATGGCGATAGTTGAATTAAAACTGAAATAAAGGAATAATCCAGAGAGTCACATAGGCTCGAGCATGGTGGTTGTGGCTGGGGACAAAAGCGGTTGTCTTGATGCGCGTAGACAAATATTGCAATGCGAGAAGTGGATGTGTGTATGTATGTATATGCATTAGGGTGGTAAAAAAAAAAGTCAAGTCGAAGTTTTAATGTTCTCACCCCTTGGGATTGTTCTACATAGAAACAGAATATACTCCTGTTTTTTATTTCGAAATAAAAAAATATATAGAGGTCGCTCAAAGCGCTCAAAGTTTCCCATGTATTTTATATGGGAAAAAACTAATTTTCGTAGAATTGGTATAGAATTCTTGAAAATCAACATTTTTCGATCAGAAAACTGGGTTTCTTCAGGAGACTTCCAATAATAATATTCAATTGTTTAACCAGTTTTTGATACTAAAGATTTTTTACAAAAAAATTTAAAATATAGATATTCAAAAAAGTATTGTAAATAAACAATTGGGTGTTATTATTGGAAATCTCCTAAAGACAAATAGAGTTTTCCGATCGAAAAATATTGATTTTCAAGAATTCTATACCATTTCTACGAATACATGGAAAACTTTGAGCGCTTTGAACGACCTATAAATATTTTTTTTAAAAAATAGTGGTAAATTTTTTCGGTATAGAACAATCCTAGAGGTGAGAGCATAAGAACTCCGACTTTACTTTTTCCCCCCGCATGCATTCTTCGACCACCCCAATGTGCATGCATTCTTTAGCTTTGATTTATGTACATGCATACATACAGCCAAAGAAATATTATTACACGTATGTATGTACATGTACATGAAATTTGCACTTCCAGATCTTATTATCATTTTATTATTTCTAATTGGTTAACTTATATATATGTATGTATGTACATATATTTATTTAATTAGGTACATACCTACAACGGTAGAAAAATAAATATTATAATGCATTATCTAGCAAAAACCATATAAATTCATACTTAAAACTGTGTGCAAAAACTAAAAATTTTGCAAATTGCATCTAAATCTTAAACTTTTTTTGAGTGTGCAGTTTTAAAGGCCATTAAATTTTAGTAAGATAAAGTGTAAGTTTTAAGTTGCTAAAAATCGCGTTGATTTTTAGCATTTTTTCACGCATAAAAGGTATGTAAAATAATTTTTTTATGAAAAAAAATTATCAAAATTCAACGCGATTTTTTAGCAACTTTAAACTTGCACTCTACTAGAATTTAATGGCCTATACAACAGCATACCAAAAAAAAAAACAAAATTCTGCAAAACCTAATTAAAAAGCTGAAAATTAAGATGCAATTTCGCACAATTTTTATAATTCTTGCACAAAGTTTGAGATATGAATTTATACGGTTTCTGTTAGATAATGAGCTATAATTTTATACAAAAATAATAAATATTAAATAAACAAAAGAAAACCATGTAACATTAAATAAAATCTTGCGTCCCCATTTATTTTGCCACCACTGTATGCATATATATATAGAAATATTTTTTATCTTCCTTCTTCAAACCGGTCTTTGCGATTTTAGTAAGTTTTTACCTTTTTTTAAGTACATACATACAAACATGCATATGCATTGGATGGACCTGTTTTCCTAAACATTTTCTTCAATTGACCAACGGCTATACAAACATATATGTATATACATACATACATACATTCGAATTTCATAGTCCATTTGCTATAACAAGCTGACGAAATGAAATGATTAGGTCGCGGAAATCCCACCCTAGGTCCCATAAAACCCGAATAACTTCAGTACGAGGCACAATAGGTCCAACACGACAAAGCACGTTGTTAGAGTGGGGCTTTCATTCCCTAAAAAGATAGGGCGCTATTTCACTCGGGAAATTTTTTCAGCATCTTTGGCTTACTTTCCGCTACACTGAAGTTTATGGGGCTATTTCGACGCAAAATCCAGCAAATCATTTGTTTCTACAGCTCTTGTTATTGTAACATCATAAAAAGTCCCCAAATAGCTTTAGAGCAATGATGCTGGCGTGGCAGTTCTTAGCCAGATATGAATCTGGATCGTCGCGGTTACGTAGGTCAGACTGTCGTTTGGGTCGACAAGGTGCTCAATCAGAGATGAGCTGCTTGCTCCCTGTTCGAAATTTCATAGCCACACCCTCGGAGTTCTGTAGTGACAACAGCAACTTTAAAGCTACTCAGCGGAAACTTACTACCGCCTCAGAAGAAATGTATAAAGAAAGGTTAGTGTGTGCCTTCACTTACGGCCGCTTCGTCGAATTTGGGTGGCGCCTGGGAGCGTCTCGTGCGCTGCGTTTTATTTTCAGGATATTGCAGTCATTCCACTCTTATAACGATTTGTTGCACAGTGCTTTAATGTATTTAGAGTCCGGCTTATACTCACGTCCTCACACCGAACTACCTTCTCTTACGTAGCTCTAGTGGTTTGAAACTTTTAATGGAATCCACTGTAGGACCCGACCGAATTAGAAATGGTTGGAAATATGCGCAACAGTTAATCAACACATTCTGGAGGCGTTGGTTAGATGAGCCCGATTCAAGAGGGATATGTCGTTTATATCTTCGATCTCAGGAACTGGTATGTCGGTGTTAATTCTAGATATGCGCTGTTCCAGTCGCTGCAATATTTAAAACAATATAGAAGAAATCATCTAAAGGAAACTATAAAAGACAAAGCAATTTCGTGGCAGTGTGAAGTTTGTGTCTGTAACTTCGTCCGCTGAAATCACATAGCAGAACGAGTTGAGGAGTTTGTTGCTATGTACTTTGAGCTTCGGTAACGATTGAGGGAGGTTGTGTTCTTGGAGACGAAGAGTAGGCAGTCCAGGTCTACTTAAAATTTTTGGGTTTTGCACCATGGGTTTTTTGCAGTTCAGATCGTGTTGAAATCCATGTCGAACTCCCGAATGAAGAACGCAGAGAGATCGAAGGTGCACAAATTTACGCCCTGGCGAAAGGTAAATCCGAACGTACACGTTTTTAGATGCTGTTGTGCCAACTAAATGTTGTTTATGCTGTCCAGTAGAGTGGTCCAAAAAAGTAAAGTCGGAGTTTTAATGCCGGCATACCCTAGGATTGATGCATATCGAAAAAAATATACCCCTATTTTTTTATTTTGAAATCAAAAAATATTTAGGGAGTGCTCAAAGCGTTCAAAGTTTTCCATGTATTTTACATGGAGAAAAAACAATTTTTCGTAGAAATGGTATAAAACTCTTGAAAATCAATATTTTTCGACCGGAAAACTATGGTTCTCTTCAGGAGACTAATATCCAATTGTTTATTTAACCATTTTTTATGATTAAAGGTTTTTTATTGATCCCCCCCTTTCCATTTTCTAAGGGCTTTGGAGGACCTATAAAATATAGTTACCATGAAAAAATTGTTAAAGAAACAATTGAGTATTATTACTGGGAATCTCCTAAAGATACTATACTTAATTCCGATCGAAAAATATTGATTTTCAAGAATTCTACACTATTTCTACGAAAAGATGTTTTTTCTCCATATAAAATACATGAAAAACTTTGAGCGCTTTGAGCACTACCTAAATTATTTTTTATTTCAAAATAAAAAAATATGGGTATATTTTTTTCGGTATATAACAATCCTAGGGGGTGGCGGCATTAAAAATCCGACCTAATTTTTTTACATACATTTTTGGACCACTTTACTGTCCAGGTTTTAGTCAGCTACAGATTCGTGAAGGCAGCTTCACACATGATAGCACTCCACGACTAAGAACTTAGAGCTTTGGCCTCATCTTCTTATCAGCCGCGGTAGAGCTTCGATTAAGAAATTTTCTAAAGGATTTAGACACGGTAGGCCCAAAAACGTGCCGTTTCGACGGTGTTTGACTAGAGGGAGAGGAGAGATTGAATTGCCTCAAGGCAAGTATAAACTTTCTAAGAAATAGCTGTTTAATCCTCTCGCTTTGAACTTTGAGGGAATTCTACTGACGATTAGCCCGCTCAAATAGTTGATAGGCCAATTTTGGTACGTAGGATTTTTTTAGGTCCGCCTTTTGCTCTGGCTTTACAAAAGGGTAAAAATTCTACCCGGTTTCTTCATCTCGGGGGTTCTTCAAGATAGTTGTGAGAAGTTGGTCCCAGGCTTTTAAGCATTTTTATAGTGGCGATGTCGTGGGCTTATACATTTGGGAGGATCTAGCTTTTCTCTATCCCCATTGTGATATATTTGCTAATAAACTCCACGAAATTCACTAAAGGTCACTCTAGGTATGTATAACAATTATAAATTTTCTGGTGAGAACCAAGAAATTGCTTTACCGGTTTTGCAAATTTGTTTGTTTGTGTTTTTAACCGACCCCAAAAAAAGGAGGAGGTAGTTTTTTTTGTATGTTGCCGCATAGATAACTTTGGACCACGTCAACCGCATTCAATAAATCTAACGGAAAGGTAGTATCTCCGACGTGGTGCCCTACTAATTTGGTTTAGCTCTGATCATTGGATCATGAAGAACTTAACGGTACTCATAAAATTTTATATGAGAATTAAAGTCCGTTTTGTTATTAGCTTAAAAATCACTTGTTTTTCGTTTATATGAATGTGTGATGTCGAAAATGTCATACGCTAAGGTGATTAAAAATGCTGATCAGCTTAAACAGCAATAAACCAAATACATAACTGCCTGATTAAATCGTTTTAAATTCGATAGGCAGCGATGTAAATGTAGCAAGTCACTTCTATAACTACTTTCAGTCATATACAGTTAATTAAGCCATACACGTGCATATATGTACATAATTACATGCATATGCACTCAAATGCAATAGTATAACAAACAGCGTTTTTTAGATTCTTATCAACTGTAAATATTTAATATTCATACATATGTATATACAAAGCAAATCCCACTTACATTAGCAGTTACAATAATTCATTAAAAAAAAGTTGCCCTTTAGCGCTCAGTCTGCATTTGCTCTTAAGAGATGCAGCTTTTATTTTAAAGGAAAACCTATATATTTTAGCAACAGCTTGTCCTCAATTAATGCTGATCTAAATGTGAAAACTTTTTTCGTAACTTCTCTCGGCGCTCTTTTTTCACGCTACGCCAAGGCTTCTCTGTGGCTGGACCACTCACTACAGTGCCATCATTGGCAACACGCACATGTGGAAAATCACTGCGGCCCTTTACGTAAGCATTGCTATTGTTGGCATCGAAAAATTGCTTATCGATCTCCTTTGAAGAGGATTTTGTGTTAATCTGGCGAAAGGAAAATATTAAAACACTTATTAATTTAAAATTTTAGGCATAGGAAAGTGTTTAATACCCGCATAGCGCGCTGTTGTTGGTTTGGCAGTTTTTGTTCAACGACTTCCTTGCTGGTTTTGGGCGGAAAGACATGGTATTCCTCTTGAGGCACATTTGGTGGTGCAACGCAGTAAAGCAATTTACCATTTACATAATCCTTACAGACATAGCGCGCCGAACGAGATTGATCCGGCTGGCCATTGGATGTCATAAAACCGCGATTGTCTGAAAATATAAAGCAACATTAATTTAGCTCAAAAGACGTCTAGGAGTCGTGTAAAGTTGTTAAGTTATTTTGTTAATAGTTTAAGGCGTTAAATATTTTATTTTAAAGTTCTATGATAAATTTTCTACAATTTGATTCAATATAATACTTTTTTCCATATCTACGTACATCCATAAGCCAGCAGCAATTCCTCTGAATGTGGTGCTCTGTTTTCATCCTCACCCTCCATGGGCTTAGCTATGATTATGCCATATTTATCCTCTAGCACGTGTCGCGGTATGCGTTCACAAAGCAAATTCACAGGCGACACATGATCGCGCATCTGAAAATAATAATACGAAAAATTAAATAAACTGTCACAATACCACTTAACAGTCACTCACCTGATCTATTGGCAGTATACCGTTAAGTATCATATCAGCTTTGGTCAGCACAAAACTTGGCATCACTAAACCGGGACAATCACACAGTAGCAAATCGTTGTCCAGATATAGGGTTTGGAAATGCTTCGTCTTGCCAGGCGTGGCGGATACCGAAACTTTCTTTTCTATCATCAACGCATTAATTGTGCTACTTTTGCCTACATTTGGATAGCCCACCAAGCCGATAGTAGTAACTTCCGCTGTAAAGGTTTTACCACTGTATACGCGTTTAAAGAAATCTATGAGTTCTTCACGTGTTAGCACTTTTGAATCGTTTTTAATCTGTTCTTTATGCGACGCAGCAGCGTTGGGATCGATTTTCTGCTCAATTTTGCTCAATAAGCTTTCAACATTATCCAGAGACTTATTAATTTCATTGGCTGCGGCTTTTACGTCATCCAAAGACATTTCAGATTTGCTGGATTCTGTACGTGCTCGTTCTGCAGGCGCTTCACTATCATTTTCGGCATCCGCGTCGCTTGCATCATTGTCACTATCGCTGTCAGCCTCACTGTCAATCTCTTGTTTCCCTTTCTGATCGTCACCACTTTCTTCATTGATTGTTTTTAACTCCTCTGCCGCCATAGTGGCCGAAAAGAATGCTGTACGTATGCCTTCTGCATCGAAGTACGCCGCCCAGTGCTTGCGCTGCTGTTCTGTCAACATATCCGACTTGTTCACTAAGATCATATTCATTTTTGCCGGATTCACTTCCTTTACATAGCGTTCTAAATCAAGATTGCGGAAAAGCAGAGGGTTGCGCGCATCCACAATCTGCACAATAACATCTGAACGTTCAACAACACGCCACAACTGACGCCAGAATTCCAAATTTTTTTCATATGGTGTGAGCAAGATATCTTGGTCTTCCTGCAAGAGCGCCAACGAACGACGCCACTCCAAGAAGCTTTCGTTTTCAGCGCGTTGCAACTCCTCGGCGGTAGTTTCTGGCGTCCATTTTGGGCGGCGTGGCACTGTCAGCATATTACGATGCTCAATATGTTTTTCTTCCATTTGTTTTTGCTGCGTTTTGCTTAGCAAACCAACGCCCGACTTGGGATTGATGAATGTGATATTGAGTTTCTCGGCCTGGAACTCAGTGCCTGCCAGCTCAGCAGTGCGGAGGAAATCGTGAAAGGAAGATTCTTCGGTGACCGAAGCCAAATTAAGACGACCCCAGTCGTAGCCATCCTGAATTTCGGTGGTGTGTAACTGTAGAAAAAGTAAGGAGTTGCTTGTACATAATTCTATGTTGAGTTAAAGGGATTTGTTTACCATAGTCTCATTGTCCACTTTGCGTCGGAACTGGTGTCCGAAACGATTTTTTATTAACGCGCGTCCGAGATCGCCGCTCTTGGTTTTGCTCTTCTTGCTCATTTAGCTATCTACTACGTTGAATGCGGCTAGTTTACTATATTTTTTGTTGATACAAGCAGTAAATTAAAGAATTTCACAAATTTTCAACACGTGTGCGAAATGCGCAGAAAATTTGTTTTGATTATATACTGTGGTTTTGATGCCTCTTCTTGTTTTAAGCGATGGAATGACGCTCACGATGATTTGACACGAAGAATCAGCTGTTGGCTAGTGTTGCCAAGCAGCACGTGGGCATATACTTTCAACCAAAGAACGTAAAGTAACGTAAAATACGTTCTTTGGTTGAATGAAAAAAAAACATTTGGGGTGTTCACAGTTCGTTCCAAATAGTGTCTGAAAATGTAGACGTCTACATTTTCAGACACTATTTGGAACGAACTGTGAACACCCCAATTCAAACCAAATTCAAAATTCATTTGGTTTCAACCAAAGAACGTAAAGTAACGTAAAATACGATCTTTGGTTGAATGAAAAAAAAAATATTCAAAAATGAAATAAAACAAAGTAAAATTAAATAAACTAACACCATTCATACTCTGTTTCAAAGTTGGCTGTCAAACCAATTCAAAATTCATTTGGTTTCAACCAAAGAACGTAAAATACGTTCTTTGGTTGAATGAAAAAAAAAAAATTCAAAAATGAAATAAAACAAAGTAAAATTAAATAAACTAACACCATTCATACTCTGTTTTAAAGTTGGCTGTCCATAAACAAATTAACATAAAATAAATAACGTAAACAAAGGAAATAAAATATTGTAAAAATAAGTAACGTAAAGCAAAATAAAATAAAGGAAAGTAAAGAAATACAAGTAAAAAATGAATTTAAATAAAAGGAAGTAAAAATTTATAAAAATAATAAAATACGATAAAACATAGAAAAGAAAAGAATATAAGTAAAAATTAAATAAATCATTTAAAAAATAAAACAAACTAAAAAGTTGAAATATAATTAAAAATTACAAAAAATAAATAAATACATATATAAACGTACAACGAATTAATGCATTACAATAGATAAAAATTCAAAAATAAATGCATTAAAAAGGCAAATGGCACAAAAAAAATAATTCTAGTTAACCTCTAAGGAACCTTGCAGATATTTGCACTGTCCTTTCCAGCGCATTTCTAAAGGAACACCAGACACAAGGAATTTTTATGTTTGCATGTATGTATGCATGCATCTATTTTTCATATATTTCGTACTTGTAAACTCCCGTTTGTTCTAAAATTTGCTATTTGCATTTATGTATGTTTGTCATTCCAAGCTATTTTAGTTGTTTTTTAGTGAGCCTACAAAGACGCATGCCCTCGCAAGCATGGAGAAGGGTTGCTTTCATGGCTAAGTGTCCTGTCAGCGATATACTCTCAGCTTGTTGTTGCTGTTTTTCTCCTCAGCCTCTGTAGCTAGTTTTGTTATCTGAATAATCATTTGTGTGCATTTCTTGTAGTTTTTTTTTTTAACTTCGCTTTGTTTAGCTTTTGTTGTTGTTTTCGAGCTACTGTTATCGGCCAATGCAAAAGTTTATATTCGTTCACAGGAGTTGAATTTCTTTGTGTGTGTTTGTGCCTACTTGCCCATGCGCGTAGTTTGGCATTGTTCGAAAACTATAAATTTTATCAACAACAAAACACACACGCACATATACATATCCATACCCACAACAAACACACTTACATATACATACATATTTACATGGATGGAGCTAACGGGCGGCCTATAGGGGGTAATAAACCTGCTTTTTAAACTACTACTTCGGGGAAGGAGATGGCAATTCCTAAACTCGGTGGCAGAGTTATCGTCGATTTCTCTTGGATTGGTTGTGGTGGCATAGCTTCCAACTTATAAGTAAACAATGTTTTGGTTTCCAAGCCCGAAAAAACTTGAGATTACCGATGCCGTATCATCTTGGCCATCGTTTATACCGGTGGCCGCCTTGGTAGAACCCTGATATAAGCTTAGATAGCTGATTTTCCGTTGATTTAGAACAGGCTCTGCTACCACTTTAAGCGTTGTAAGCTCATCTGAGGGTCACATGAGCAACTGTATGATACCATCTGGTATTCTCTTGAGGTTAGTTTAAGTCCGATGGTGTTCATATCTCTTGAAATAGTCTTTATCTGCGTTGGATTGTGGTTGAACTCCGAACTCAACGATCGGTAGTTGGTAAATGGGACGATTACCCCTCAATCAATGTCGTTTAAAGGCTAACTAAACTACGTCGGGTCCGGTGGTTGCGAGATGTAAGGCTGGATCTCGTACTTAAGTTTATAGAGGTGCCTTCTGAAGTGCCTAGGAAGTGACTATGCTTCTAGTAAGTGTCGTTGTTCGGGTGTTTCCCACGGTAACCGGAACTACCTGCTGAAAATGAAATTATGTTCGATACGATTGGTATCTTTTGGACTGCAGTCAACTAGCTCATCAAAGTTTAACATAAGCTCCGATGCCTTACGCTCTCTATTCAGCTAATGTTAAGCATTGGCGAATATGCTGGATAGTCTTCTCCTTATCAACTTTCTGACTTCTTCTGCAATAACAGGTTTAGGAAAACCTAAGACCCAATATTCAGTAAGAACCTGGGAGGAGTGGTTAAGTTCTTTGTTTAAGTAGTGCTTATATGTGGAATCACCTTAGAGTTTCCTCACCCTGCAAACATTGGAAGTCCCGGGAAACTTGATTCTTGATTGAATATATGCTATCGGAATGGGACTATTCTAGGGCATAACTTTAAACGAATTTTATTTGGACTTCTCTGTCATTTTAAATAGTCGGGTCGGGTTCATTGCTTATGGCGTCAGTCTCTAGAGAAATTAAGACAATTTTAGCCGAAGAAAAATTTTTTTTTACATCGTCGCCCGTATGCCAGGAACAAGAATTTTGGAAAATCAAGTTTAAACGTTTTTTTTGGAAGACTAACTCTACTTTTAGGTATGCAATTGAAATTGTAAAATTTGTATGATTTCTCTACACACATGGTAGTCTGGGTTTTAGTATAACATAAAACATCCAAAGCTTAATCAGGTCAACCCAATAACTCAAAGCTGATAAATTTGCACATTCATGGTTCTGGCATGAGGGTGACGATATTTAGTATAAGCAGAACACTTACCTAACGTGACAATACTTTGTTCGTTCCCTACTTTAAAAGCTTCGAGGATGAAGCAGTATACATATCCAGCTTAAAGACTCATGACCTTAAGGGCCGTTTTCTCAAGTAGCGTTTAAAATTTATCAGCTCTTTAAATAAATTTTTTGATAACAAAAGTAGGTTCAAGGAGCTTTCTAAAGTAACATTTTCATAACTATTTTCGATTTACATATAAAGCAATTAACGTCTTCTTTATTTTTAATAAAATTGGGTGTCAGGCTAATTGCTTAATATATCGATAATAATAGTGATTAAAAATCGATAGTTTAGTATACCGATAAAAATTAAATGACCAAACACAATATTGAAAAAAAAAATATCGGAAATTTGGAAAAATGTCGATAAATATATCGAAAGTGCTATCGATTAATGCACCGATAATTTATAGACAAAAAATCGGAGAATCGGGAAAAATTGGTAGATTATCCATAACATTGTTGTAAATAACTAGTCAACCAAACAAAAGGAGACAGCCAATAAGGTGCTCCCTTATTACAAAGTTCTGGTCCGTCACTGTATGCATGTTGCATGCCGTTCACACACATCTTCTATGTAGCTATGCGTGTGTGCTTAATCAGTTTTAAAGTTTTTGTCCCAAATCCTCGACTCCTTGATGGACATAAATATATGCTTACATATCCAAACAAATGTATGTATGTATATGCACGCATACATACCCTGCAGGGAAAGCTACTAGTAGTGAACTAGAATTCTACCAGTTAGCGTTTCAGCCCAACTAGTTCACGTTCTATCCTCTTTCAGTGTTAGTGACTGGTATTTTTAACATGGCGATGTCCTATGAGATGTCAATTGTCAGGCTTTGCATCAGCATCTACTAATAAAAATACTAGTCGCATCATACCAGTTGATGAGATAGTCTACCAATTCCAAGGTATTTCAAGGTTCAAGTCCTGACGCAGGGGGAATTATTTAATTTTATATTTGCTAATTTTAAATTTTTTTTTTTATTTAGAGTTTTTATTGTAATTTTCAAATTTATTTATAAAAAGTTTTATTTTTATTTTTTTTTCTGCAACGGAATTCGATTTTAAAATTTTTTATATTTAAATTGAAATAATTATATTGACTTACATTAACTCAATTTGAAAAAACTTAACCACCTCCAAGCGGACTCGAACCTGCGATCTCAGAACCAGTACCGGTAGTCTTCACGCGACGCCACAGCCGACATTTGTAAGAAAAGGAATTAATGGTCAAATTCATAGGCCATACCTTTAGCACATACTAGTTAATGAACTAGTATTTTTACAAGCTTTTATTTAACTTGCTCATTACTGACTGATTTGGCTTTTCACTGCAGGGTATTTTTTTAGTTCTATCCAACTGTGAATGTATTTACTTTTTTGCATATATATGTCTGTGTATGCAAGAAAGTTTAATTTGTCATGTTTTCTCAATGGGTGGCAACCTCATTTATTTAACACCCACCCACACAAGAGTTGTAGGCTTTTGTTTCATTTTACGACTATTCACTCGATGTTGTTTTTGCTTTGGTTTTATTGTTGCTGCTACTGATTAAATCGGCAACGTCGTGTGTGCTGGCGATTAATTATCATTTTAAATGGCATTAATTTCATATTATAAAGTTATGACCACGAAGAGTGAGGTGAGGGAGAAAGCTAGTTGAGGAGAGAGATTGAAGGAAAAATATAGTGAAAGGAGGCAAAATATATGCCGGTCCATGCCGCGGGTGGATTTATTAGTTTTGCCTTTGAGTTTGATTCGGACCTAGTTTTTTTAGCTTTCGTAGATGAGCTCTACTTACATACACATATATATGTATTTAAGTATACAATTACAATTAAACTCCAAATTCTTTCCAAGATGTATTAGTATTAGTTTCTGTGAACAAGGAGCTTGATTAGATACCTATAAAATTTAAAATCTCAGCTGTCTCAAGCATCGTTCAATTATTGTTAAAAAATAATAAAAAAAAATGTTTGTTAAGAACATCAAACTAAAACTCTATTTCTCTTTATTCTTCATGTCTCATGCTATCCCCGCTGAAATT